GGGGGGGGGGCTGAAGAGAGGACTTTTATACATTTTGTACCTTTGTAACCAGAGAGATATGCTTATGTTATTTTTCAGCTTTTCTGTCCCCCTGGGGGGTCTGAGGCTGGGCTGGGGTGGGGTGGGGAGAGGTGCAGAACTTGGCCCCATTTGGGTCGCTGGCGAATCACATACCCTTTTCTCTCAGCTCATTGGGGCCCCCACCCACCCACTGGTTTGATCTGAATACTGCCAGGGCCCAATTGTACAGAACTGATCTTTGCTTTTAATCAACCGTCCCAAGGGCCAAACTTTTTTTCGGGGCTAGGGGTTGCACTTGTAGATGAGAGCCTCCGTTCTCACAGAGGCTCTCGTTCTCTCTCTCTCTTTCGTGGGCCCCTCACCACGGATATGTGTGCTGATGAGTGGAGTCCCTGCCACTTACTGCCTTATGACCTAGGACTGATGCTGTGGGGTGCTGGCCAAGCAGCAGGGGCCGTGTTTACAGAGCCAGGCTTCCTTTCCCCCTTCCCAAGGCTCAGGCCTCCATCTGACGGGGTACGTCATGGCACCCCTCTGCCCCCACCCCCAGGCCAGCCCCTGCTGAGAGCAGAAGTTGTTCTTTGCTGCCATGTCATTCCCCAACACTGCCCCCTGCAGGACTTTATCCCAGGAGGTGGGAGGGAGCTAAAGGTGCCCAACTAGGGAATTCAAGACTCAGAATGTAGGTGCGAGGCCTCCTCCGTTTACAGGAACCTCCCTGGCCCCAGCACCCGCCCAGGCGGATGGAAGTGACTCAGCTCCACCCTCCTTTCCCCCACCGGGGAAAAGGGGGAACTTGACTGTTAGGACCCCGAACACAAAGCTCTCTTGTTTGTTACTTTGATGTCCAGAACTGGGGATGCTTACATTTGGTTAACTTTGTTTACAGGTCAAGAATGTTATTTTCAATCTTTTTATTTATTTTTTAAACCTTGTTTACAACGTAAAACTAGGACACTTTGTTTACAGGAGAAAATGTTTTTTTCCCCCTTGTTTACAAGTGAAAGGTAGGGAACATGGGAGAGGGGCTTAGGAAGACCTCACCTGTGAGGCTCTGGATCTGGCTATCTCCTGGGGGCTTCTAACTCCCAGCTCCCTCAGGCCCCAGGTCAGCCTTGAGCTCCCTATCAAAACAGCAGGCCAGAAAGGCCTAGAGTGGGGGTGCTCCTACCACTGGAGATGGTGGTGCAGGGCCAGGGGGTGGCGGCACCCCCCAACACATAGGCATACTCTTGGGAGGCAGTTTCCAAGGAGATCCCAAGTTCTACTTCCCAGACTGGTGCCAAATGTGGCCAGCGAAAAAACGCTTCTCCTTACCCAGAATGACCCCAGCTCTGAAAGGACTGAGGGGCTTGCTGGGGGAGTGGAGTATGTTTTTGCTCAGTCCTAGGTTCTATAGATGCCCCTTTCTGGGGGGATTCTCCCCCTACCCCCCCGGCCCCCCATCCCCACCCCCAGCGGCCTCCTTCCCTGTCTGTGTAAATTGTTCCGTGAAGCCGCGCTCTGTTTTGGGAATAAACTTCTATAGAAAAGGTTGCTGCCTCCTTCTGTCTGGGGGATCAGAGGGAGTGGCAGGGAAAGACAGAAACTCCCTTCACCCTCCCCTCAGAGGGGCTGCGTTATTTTTAGTCCATGTCATCAGGGATTTGGATTATTTTCCCAGTGGCTATGAATTCTGGTCCCTCACCTTGTGATAAAGAAATGTGAGCACAGGTGCTGGGGAGAGGGTTGGGGGGTGTCGCAAGGGAAACCCCCTGCTTGGGCAACACAGTGGCAACAGGACTTCCTGAGACTCAGGCCTAGAGGTCAAAGCAACCGTAGGAGCTCCCCTACCGACTGCATTTGGAGGGCCTGCCCTTCTGCTGCCCAGGAGGGTCCATCCTCAGCTGGGCTGGGCTGGGTGGGGGGTGGGGGGTGCGGCCGACATCACAGCCTCATTTCTGTCCCGAGTGGCCAAGAGTTGGAAGGAGACCGTGGGGACCACGGAAAAACTCCTTTCAGAGAGAAAGCCAAGGGAGGTTCCCTCAGTTGGAAGCATAAGAACACCCCCCACACCCCCATCCCACCCCGGCGGGGCCCCCTATGAGCTAAGTCTCCGGCTCGGCTACAGCCTTCATGCACTCATAGGGATTTCTCCTCTTTGTCGCACTGTAACCCTTCTCCCTTAGGCGCGACCACCACGTTGGGCTTAGGGGCCTTTGGTCAGCTGGGCGGTCCGACAGGGCCGTGAACAGAGCTTGGCGCGTCATCCGAGATGAACGATCCAGGGAAGGGAGGAAGGGGTTAACCTGCTCCGAGAGCGTCACGCGGGCCCCGCCCCAGCACGCTGATTGGCCCGGACCTTCCCTGACCTGCCTCGGGATTGGCTGCCAGCAGCGTGCCGCTGGCCCCCGACCCATCCCCGGCTCCACCTTCCGGCCTTTAGCGGCCTCTCGCCCAAGCCTTAAGATCGGCCGCCGCCGGTCCGCTACCCGGTCATGGGCCCTGCAGAAGCGCCGGGGTGAGTCCGGGCGCGGCCCGCTCCCGGGTATCCGCGACTTCGTGCGTGTCCGCGAGGCGCAGACCTCCGGTGGCCCCTCCCTGCGGCGGCACCGGGCCCGAGTCAGCTCAGAAGTGAGGGCTGGGGTGGGGTCGCTGAGCCTGTCCCAGGGACTTCCCGCCTGCAGCGCCCCGGTTTACCGTTTGCCGCTTTTCTCCAGGCGCTGCCCCTCCAGCGGCGAGGGATGGGGCGAGAGCCGGCGCCGCGCCGCGCGAGGGCTGGCCGGGGCGGCTGCGTGCGGAGGAGCCCTGGTGCAGGAGGTGCTCTGGATGGGGCGCGTCGGGGCGGGAGGTCCCTGCAAGAAGTCCCAGGCAGAGCACGTGGGCCAACCGAGTCCACCCAGCCCTTTGGCTGAGCCGGACTGCACTCCAGCCCCTGGGCTGTGTGTGCCCTCCTAGGGGGCGGGGGGAGGACCCGGGGACTGAGGCTCCTCCCTCCCAGGGCTGGTCCTGCCCTGTAAGGAGACTGAGTGACTCAGGGAGGAGGGGCGAGGGGGGGGCTCAAAGATCTCCGGAGACAGCGGTGCAGGGAGTCTGAGGATCTTCTTTGTACCCTCTCCACTCCCTCCTCTAAACGGGACATTGAGGTTAGAGTCCTTTCCCAGGTGAGTCCCTGGCTCTCCCGTGGGAGTGCTTCCCCCTGCCGCGCCTTGCCCACAGCTCAGCACCTGCTTTCCTAGCAGGTGAGCCTTTTCCAGGGAGGAATTTCCCTTCTGGAGGCAGTCGTCTGGGGAGGTGAGAGAGTTTCCCCCCAGATGAGAGCTGCCACCTTGTCAGAAATCTGGCAGGTGAAAATTTCCCTGTGCCAAGGAGAACAACTGCTCCCAAGAGAAAATTCCCAGTCTGAGATCCCCTTTTCCTGAAAAAGATCTAGGGTCTTCCGAAGAGCTTCCCCCCAAACCAAAACACACCTGGTAGCTGGGAGATTTCTCATGTGGTGACATTCTCCCACAAGTAGACCCTTCACACACAGAAATCACCTGTTCCCAGGTGAGATAGTTTCTCCCCCTCAGGTAAGAGCTTCTCCCCCTTCCCCCCAGATCTCCGATTCCCACCTGAGATCTTACCCTCATTCAAGGGAGCCTCCTCCTCCAGGTGGGAGCCTCCCTGGCAGATGGGAGCCTTCTGCCAACGCCCCCCTAGATGAGGTTTCCCCTTCCACATGAGATTCCTCCCTCCTCAGAGGTCCCCGAAGGTGAGAGCCCTCTCCTGGCTTTCCATGCAAGGCCTGGACTTGAATATTAACCTGGATCCTAGGGTGGAGGTCAGGGCAACCTTGACACCAGCATTTTCCTCTTGTGAGAAGTGAGGGTCTCCTGTGAAGATGGGGGCTTGCTAGAAGAGTGGGGCCCAGGAAATGTGGGATCCCTGCCCTATCTGTGCTCGGGGCAACTAGAGCAACTGGGGTAAACATTCAGACTGGCCAGGGATTGGCTAGGGGAAGGCAAAGGCCCAGGAGAGGCAGCCAGCCTGGAGCCTGCACTGATAGAGCGCTCTCAGGGCCATGCAGCCACACCTGCACTGGAGGTGTAGACATGCTCATCCCCAGTCTCTTCATGGGAGACTTTGGCCTAGCAAGAAACCTCTGCCAGCCAAAGTCCAGGCTCTGCCTGTGTGTGGGCATGAAGCCCACAGGGAACAGCCGAGGCCTGGGCTCGTTTGTACCACAGGGCCTGGACAAGTCAGGTGTGCCCTGGTCCCAGGTGGAGGTGTGCAGGGAAGCCGGGCCAGGCGCGCCCTCATGGTCTGTCTCTTGTCTTACCTCCCTCAGACCGAGGGACACACAGGCACTGTTGTCTGCAACGCAGACCATGGAGCTGCGGAGGCGAGACTACCACGTGGAAAGGCCACTGCTGAACCAGGAGCAGCTGGAGGAGCTGGGGCATTGGGGCCCAGCGCCCCCGACCCGCCAGTGGCGGAGCTGGTTTCAGTAAGGCCAGAAAGAGGGACCTGGGGCTCTGGCATTGCCAGGCAGGCAAGCCCCCCCTCCCCCCTTCCTGATACCCATCCCCTTCACACCTCCAGGTGCTCTCATGCCCGGGCGCGCACCTTACTGCTCCAATACCTCCCTGTTCTGGCCTGGCTGCCCCGGTACCCCGTGCGTGAGTGGCTTCTAGGTGACCTGCTGTCTGGCCTGAGTGTGGCTATCATGCAGTTACCGCAGGGTGAGCGAACCCTTGACCCTTTGTTGGCAACCCTAACTCGGCAAGGCCCTGGCGTGGAAGCCCGGCCCCTGGCCCCTGGGATGGTGGCCCTTGGTTCTGGGCTGGGTTTCCCCCCAACGTTGTGGCACCTCACCCTCAAGCTGGCATCGCTGCCATTTCGCCCCAGGCCTGGCCTACGCCCTCCTGGCTGGACTGCCTCCCCAGTATGGCCTCTATAGCTCCTTCTACCCAGTGTTCATCTACTTCCTGTTTGGCACTTCCCGGCACATCTCTGTGGGTGAGTGGAGCAGGCCGGGCCGGGGCCCTGGACAGGAGGTCCCAAGCCACCTGGGAGGGAGAGTGAAAGGGCTGCGCAGGGCAGGGAAGCTGGGCAAGGGCGGCGGCAGAGGGCTCCACAGTGGGGAAGCTGGCTCAGATGTTCTCCAGGTGAGACCGGACTCCTGACAGTGAGACCACACAGGAAAGTCCCTTGAGGCCCTGGCTCCAGGAAGATGGAGGTGGGTGGGGGGTGGGAGGGCCACGCCAGAGCTCAGACCTTGGCAGAGGCCTGACCAACATGAGGCTGGCAATATCCCCTTCCCCAGTCTACCCTTCATAACAGGAGCAGTCAGCCTGGGCCTGATGGATACGAGTAGGTCCCTGGGCACTGTGCCCTGTGTTTGGGGAAACCTTCCTAGCCCTGGAGCTCAGGGTCCACTCCTGATCCTGGCTGTAGCTGATGACCAGCACTTCCCCCTGTTGGCACAGCCGTGGTCTGCGGGTGCTGGCCCTGGGATGGAGGTCTTTCAGCCCTGCCCTGCCTCTGCAGGGACCTTTGCTGTCATGTCTGTGATGGTGGGCAGTGTAACAGAATCCCTGGTCCCGGATGAAGCCAACCCTCAGGCCCCAAACTCCACAGTCAACGAGACGGATGCAGATGCTTTCCGGGTGCAGGTGGCCTCCACGCTCAGTGTCCTGGTCGGTCTCTTCCAGGTACAGGGCAGTCAGAGTTGAGTGAAGTGACTCTCTCACTGTGGCCCCTGCAGTCCCTCAGTCTCCACTCTCACCAGTGCCCGCGTACACCTGACCCTCACTCTCCCTTGTCCACTCAGCCCAGTTGTAGTTGCCTGCAGCCTCCCTGAGGCGCCCCTCCGTCCCCACCTACGCGGACTCTTTCCTGCTCCCCACAGGTGGGCCTGGGTCTAGTCCACTTCGGTTTCGTGGTCACCTACATGTCCGAGCCTCTGGTCCGTGGCTACACCACGGCGGCGGCTGTGCACGTCTTGGTGTCCCAGCTCAAGTATGCGTTTGGCCTTCATCTGAAAAGCCGCCCGGGGCCACTGTCCCTCATCTTTGTGAGTGAGGGGAATGGGCCAGGGGAGTCCCCTCGGGCGGCCTGGAGTGCTGGCTGTGACGCCTGCCTCTCACCAGACAGTGCTGGAGGTCTGCTGGCGGCTGCCCCAGAGTGTGGTCGGCACCGTGGTCACCACGCTCGTCTCAGGCCTGGCGCTCGTGCTGGTGAAGCTGTTGAATGACAAGCTGCAGCAACACCTGCCCATCCCGCTGCCCGGAGAGCTGCTCACGGTGTGGGGGAGCGGGGACTGGGGGGAGACACCTCCAGGGCTCTTGGGGGTGAATGGACACCCCCCACACACATGTTGGTATCTCCCTCCACTCCCCTGTCAGCATTTCCCACCTCCCTCCCCACATGATTAGGTCTGTCTCTCACCTTGTTGGTCACTTAGTCCAACCCCTCTGAAGATTACCCCCCATCCTCTCCTGCCTCACCCCACAAAGTGGTTTCTCCAGCCCTCCCTCCCTCCCCTGACTCCGCCCTCTCCCCGCAGCTCATCGGGGCCACAGGCATCTCTTACGGTGTGAACCTGAACACCACATTTGGGGTCGACATCATGGGCACCATCCCCACCGGGTGAGTGCCAGTCCCCTGTCAGGCCAGGGAGGGTTAGGTGACCAAAATTGGGGCCTGCCCTTGGCCTCACAGATCCGTGCCCCCCCCCCCAACACACAGGCTGGATCCCCCAGTGGCTCCCCGCCCTGAGCTGTTCCCCAAGATAGTGGGAAACGCCTTCACCATTGCCGTGGTTGGGTTCGTCATAGCCATCTCTCTGGGGAAGATCTTCGCCATGAGGCACGGCTACCACGTGGATAGCAACCAGGTCTGGGGCTTGGAGAGCTGGAGGGGGCAGCCAGGTCTCCAGGGACCAGGGGACTGAGGAGGAGGGTCAGCCGGGACACAGACGTGCTGGGGCCATGTCTGCGTGCACCATCGGCTGAGGGTGAGCGTCGGGGGTTTGTGGCACGGTAACCCGGCACTGCCAGGTTGGTCTCACTCCCACCCTTCTCCCACAGGAGCTGGTGGCCATTGGCCTGAGTAACCTCATCGGGGGCTTCTTCCAGTGCTTCCCCATCAGCTGCTCCATGTCACGGAGCCTGGTTCAGGAGAGCACCGGGGGCAACACGCAGGTAGGCCGTGGACGTGGGGGTCTGGCTGGGCCTGCGCACCCGCGACTGCTTGGCTAGAGTCACATTACACACACACACACACACACACACACACACACACACACTCATCTCCACCCACTGATGCCCACTCTCCTCCCTACGCCTGCCCACGGGGGCCCTCATCCTCCCTTGCTCGCCCGTACCCTGCAGGTGGCCGGAGCTACCTCCTCCCTCCTCATCCTCATCATCATCCTCAAGCTTGGGGAACTCTTCCGAGACCTGCCCAAGGTGAGCCTCCCGCCTCCCCCTCACCACCACCACCTGGGCCTGGCCAGGGGCTCAGGTCAGTCAGGCAGGTCCCAGGGGAGGGATGGGGTGCTAGGTCACATCCTGCTCTTCAAACCTGAGACCTCTGGGGTGAGACTTGGAGTCAGGCTCGGGCATCAGAGCCCTTCAGAGCCAAGTTTCTAGGGATGGAGGGCAGTACTTGGTGGCATGGGCATCTGTGGCCTCTCCGTGACCAGGCAGTCCTGGCCGCCATCATTCTGGTGAACCTGAAGGGCATGCTGCTGCAGGTGAAGGACGTAGGCTCCCTCTGGAAAACAAACCGAGTGGACCTGGTGAGACTCCTGGAGCCCAGGGCCGGAGCTGGGGGCCTCCTGTCCAGTGACCCTGCTGACCGCCGCCCTCTGTCCTCAGCTCATCTGGCTGGTGACCTTTGTGGCCACCATCCTGCTGAACCTGGACCTGGGCCTGCTGGTTGCTGTGGTCTTCTCTCTGCTGCTCGTGGTGGTCCGCACGCAGCTGTGAGTGCCCCCCTACCCCTGGGTCCTCCCTGCAGCTCCGCATGCACCCCGGCTCTCTGGTTCCCTCAGCCTCTAGCTCGCTCTCTTCTCCACAGACCCAAGTACTCCATCCTGGGGCAGGTGCCAGGCACGGATGTTTACAGAGACGTGGCAGAGTACCCAGAGGTGAGTGGCAGGGGCTGAGAAGGCGATGTCGTGGGCGGGACTGGCCTGGCAGCCTCCTCGGTGCCCAGCAGAGACAAGGAGCTGAAGATGCTGGGCTTTGGTCCTTGGAAACTCAAGGGCGGGCCTGGGGGGGTGGGGCAGCAGAGTTTTGCCTGTGTGTCTGAACACCCCTGGATGGGGGGACAGAGGACCAGGCGCCCAGAGATGGGTCTGGGGGCCTAGCAGGGAGACAGTCTGCAGTCTAAGTGCCAGGCCTGGGTCACAGGTGGAATTCTGGGACACCAGGAAACGGGCCTGCTTCCGGAGTTGGTCAACAGAGTTAATCTGTGCCCCTTACCCGAGGGGTCCCCTGCCAGGTGCTGGCGACGTAGGAAGAGACCCATTTCTCCCTCCTTCACCTCAGCCTTGAAGGACGGGCACAGGGCAGCACTCCTGGGCAGAGCGGAGGAGGCCGGGGCGCTGGGCTGTGGGTGAAGATGCCCAACTGGGTGGACGGAACCTGGGAGGGTGGAGGCCGTTGTCCTGAACAGAGAGAGCCACCTCAGCAGGTGCCTGACTGTGTGTGAAGAAGGGACCACCAGGTGGGCAGAGACCCAGGAGGAGGCCTACGTGCGGTGGCCCGAGGGGAGCTCTGGGCAGTGGCTGGGGAGGCGGGCAGGGAGAGAGGCAGACGGGCCCTGCAGGAAGGCCTGTGGGTCTGGCTGAGGGCTGGGCGAGCCTCAGGATGACTCCCCGCAATCCCCCCACCCCCACCCCATCCTCTGACCTAAATGCCTGGGAGACCTGAGGCCCCAGGCTGGGCCCACATGGACCAAGGAGGTGGTTAGGGGTGGCTGGTGACCCTGGGGCGCTGTCAGGGACAATGATCAGCTAAGCCCCCTCCAACACGGCCCAGGCCAAGGAGGTCCCTGGCGTGAAGATCTTCCGCTCCTCGGTCACCATGTACTTTGCCAACGCTGAGCTCTTCAGCAACGCACTGAAGCAGAGGGTGAGGCGGGGGGGCCCCCCGGGGGGAGGCGGGAGAGGGGCACCCGAGCCCTCCTTCCTCAGAGCACCCACATCCCCTGCCTCTGATGTTCGCCCGCAGTGTGGAGTGGACGTCGACTACCTCATCTCCCGGAAGAGGAAGCTGCACCGGAAGCAGGAGCAGAAGCTGAAGCGACTGCAGAAGCAGCATTCCCACAGACAGGCAGGGCCTCCCTCGCAGACTGACCCCTGTACCCCCCATGCCCACCCTCCTGGTGTCCTCTGGCTCCTCCCTCCCCATGCCCTGGGGGCCTCCGCTCTCCCTGCCTGGCCGGTCAGGGCTCTGGGTGGTGACCTGCCCCCGACCTTCCCGGGGAGTCTGCAGCCATCCTTCCGGCCCAGCAGAAGCCTTGCCGGGTCCCACAGCCTCGGCTGCCGCTCTGCCCACCTGCCCCAGGCCTGCCTGGCAAGACCGCCCTGTGGCTCAGGCCCTCCCTCCTCTTTCTGGGCCAGGCTGCCGCTTCCAACGGCACCTCCTTCTCCATCAGCGTCAACAAAGGCCTGGAGGCCAACGAGCTGAGCACGGTGGACTCGGTCAAGGTAGGTGTGGGGGGGAGGGGGGCAGCCAGGGGGGCCCACGTGTGTCTGGGAGTGCAGTCATGGGCCCATCAGCTGCGGGGTGATGGACAGGCGCACCCCTGGGGACTCTCTGCCACATGCTAACTGCTCAGTTCCCTGTAACATGAGACAGAGTGTGGGTGCCACCAGGCCAAGCCCACAGGCTGAGCTCCTAGGTAGAGAGGAGGAATTGCATGTGGGTAAGGTGATATCTAGGCACCAAAGAGGCTGCCAAGCTCTGTTGGAGCCCAGTGGGGTGAGGGAGGGTGTATGTATGTGCACGTGTGTGTGTGTGTGTGTTGCTCAGTTCTCTGCTGCTTCCGCTGGGCTGCAAGAGTGTGGGGGCAGGGGTCTCCCAGCATCCTCTCTTGCCAAGTGGTCTTCCCAAGCCTAGGCCTGGCAGGGCACAGGGCAGTGTGTGCACAGTGCGCACAGTCATATGCTCTCCTGTGCCACCCTGTGTGTCTCTCCCATCTGGCACATGGGGTGCACTTCCCCCTGCCTGTGCCCCACCCCATGTATGTGGGCATTTGACCAGGGGTCCCTGGCTGTGTGTCCCTGCCTCACTTTGGGCATGTATGGTTCCCCAGCAGGCCAGCACAGAGGATGGGACAGTGGCCACTGTTGAAGAAGAGGCCAAGGTCCCGGACACGTCCTCCCTGAAGGCCCTGGGCCTGCCACAGCCCAGCTTCCACAGCCTCATCCTGGACCTGAGCGCCTTTTCTTTTGTGGACACCGTCTGCCTTAAGAGCCTCCGGGGTGTGAGCAGCAAGGCCACCCCAAGAAGCGGGACAGGGGGAGCAGGGGATGGGGTACAGAGTGCCTCAGATTGTATGCGGACCTGCTCTGCCTCTGAGAGTCCTCTGAGCTCCCCTCTGGGACAGCACCCCCACCCCCGCCGCACCCCCAGAACCTGCCTGAGTACCTCCTTCTCTGCTGCAGATTTTCCGAGAGTTCCGGGAGATAGAGGTGGAGGTGTACTTGGCCGCCTGCCACAGTGCGTGTGTGGGGACAGCTCTGGGGACAGGATGGGATGGGGCTCTTTCGGCCCATAGGTCTGCCAGGTGGCACCAGGACATAGTCTTCTCTGAAACTATGGGAGGGTCTTAGGTGTCCTGGAGGTCCGAAGTGAGTGTGGGGGTTAGCCGTAGCTTGGGGGAGCCTCTGGGTCAGCGGTAGCAGGGGACAGGCATTCTGCTGGGGACGGGAAACTGGGGCATCCAAGTGGCTCTGAGCGCCAGGTGACTGGCTCCTTGCCTCCAGGCCCCGTGGTCACCCAGTTTGAGGCCGGGTGCTTCTTCGATGCATCCATCACAAAGCAGCATCTCTTTGCCACTGTCCACGATGCCGTCACCTTTGCCCTGCAGCGTCCAGGTTCCAGAGCCTCCAACCCTGACTTGGTGAGCGGACCCATGGTGGTTGGCCCACCAGGCCCTGTTTGTTCATTTCTTATCCTCTCCTTGGGCCTGGCTCAGGGTTCTCTGCTTGGAGGGAGGTGGCCTCTGGGGTGGGAGGGTGGTGGAGGAAGACTCCTTTGGAGCTGACTGGAGCCCCCTATCCCCCTACCCCGCCTCTGCCTGCTCAGGCCACCAAGTTCTGACCTTTCTGCTGGACACTGCCTGCCTCTGAAAGGTGTGACGGGGAGCCAGCCCGTGTGATGCCCCCACCCCTAGGCCACCTCCAGGTGCCACCCAGGTGTCCCCTTTGTGCACTTGCTCACACTCACACATCTCAGGGATGGAGGTCCTGGGTCCTGGAGGCAGGCTGGCCCCGGCTGTGGTCAGGGTCGGGCAGGGCTGACATGAATTTGAACCTCAAGAATAAAGGTTGATTTGCCCCACTCTAGGCTTTTCTGTGTCTCAGTGGGCTTGGTGAGACATTAGCCCTGGCTCTTGATCCTTCTCCAGCCCCAGAGTTGGGGCTGGGCTCAGAGGCTGCGGGGAGACCTGGGAAGGCAGGATCCCAGTCCCGGCAGGGAGAGGAGAAAGTCAAGAGGCCAGGGCCCCCCTCGGTGCCCTCACTGGAACACGGTTGGAATCAGAGCTGCTTCTCAGGAAACTGCTTCCTCAAGGACACCAGCGGGCAGACAGACAGAGAAGGGACAGGTGGGGTAGCTGCCGCTGGGCAGCCCCAGGGTGTATGTGTGTGGGGTGAGATGAACAACTGTACCAGGTACTGCTGGGAGGAAACAGGCTCGGGGGGTGCGGGAAGCCTGCTCGTGTCAGGAGGTGGCCTGGGCTCTGCAGGTCCCTGGCAGCCCAGAGGTGTGTGCTGCCTTCTGCCAGGAGATGCCAATACTTGGGCTGACCAAGCCTCTGTGACGAAGGGCCACTGTCTCCCTGGGCCCCCATTGGACTCCCCACCAGAAACAGGCCTTCCTCGTGGGATGGCCAAATGAGTGTTAAATGAGCCAACACCAGGAAGGCTTAGACCAGCCACCTGCTGAAAACACCTGACCCTCGCTGCACAGCAACCAGACCTGAGCCGAGGGAGGAGGGGTGCGAGGCAGACAGGCTGCCCTGCCCTCCAGCTCCCGCCAGCATTTCCTGCAATGGCTCCACTTCTATTCCACGTCATCCACCTCCCCCGGACCCTCATCCAGGATGGTGGCATGCTTTATCTACTCTCGCCTGCCCACAGCCTTGGCAACCCAATGTTGCCCGGCAGGTGCTGGGTAAATAGTGGTTGGAAAAAGCTGATAGGCTGGGGGGGACTACGGTGACTAAGCGAGGGTTCTGGTCATCTATCGAGGGAAGCTTTGGGGAGGAGGTGATGCCACAACTGAGTGGAGGTGTCTTCCTGGGAGTGGGGGGCAGCCCTCCTGGCCTCAAACCTGAGGGAGGCGTGTTTGGGATGGGGGGGGGGGCTGTGTGCCCCAAAGCAGCGAGAATGCTGGTGGGTGGGAAAGGCCCGGGCTCCAAAGAGCCTCCGTGGGGCCTTCAGGCTTGCTTCTGCGGGGCCCCAGATCTGACCCACGTTCTGAAGGTACTTCCTGTTCATTGTGGACTGTGGGGCTGACCAGAGAGGAGGGACTCGTAAGGGCCTTAAGGTGGAGCTGCCCACTGTTGGGCTTTAGGGGCTGCAGGTGTTGAGGAGAGACGGGACGGGAAAGGGACGCTCTTTCCGTCTTAGGCCCACCCACCCGCTGAGAGGTGGGACATGGGCTTCAAGCTTGCCACCTGCCCTAACCCTTGAACCCGCTGTGGCCCTTTCCCAGCCTTAGGCCCAGCAGGAGCCTGCTGCCTTGGAGCCCAGAGCCTGGAGCCAGGGCTGCCTCCGGGGGAGGGGTGTTTGCGGGTTGCCGAGCACCCAGGTTCCGGCCTAGACACTTGGCACAGCCATGCCGCCAGTGCTGTCCTTACTGCTCGTCTTGGCCCTGTCTGCCCCGGCCCATGCCTGGCCACGGCCCCTCTGGTATCAGGTGGGGCTGGACTTGCAGCCCTGGGGCTGCCAGCCGAATGCCCTGGAGGGCTGTGAGGGGGCCCTGGGCTGTTCTGGCCACTGGATGGGTATGTCAAGCCACATCTACCCTGTGGCCGGGGTCACGGTCACCACCACCATGATGCTGTTGCTCAGCCGGGCAGTGCTGCAACGGAGGCGCTTGCAGGTCACCAAGGGTGAGGTGAGCACAGCGTCCCTGCCTACACCCATGTGCCCATAGCCCTGACCCACCCCTCCCCATCGGTTCACCACTCCCCAACCCAAGCCTGGGGCCCTCCTGCCTCCCAACCCCGCATCCCAGGGTCCCTACCTCTGTCCACACAGCTCCGCGGGGCCCACCTGTGTTCATCCTCCCTGGAGCCCTGACCACACCCAGCCTCCAGGGCCCTAGATTCACCCCCTCCCCCGCAGGGCCCCATCCCCTGGGACACTGTCCCCCACCCCTCCGCCTTGCTCCTCTCTGCCCCACTAGCCTGCCCCCTTTCCCCCTCTCACTCTTGCCTCTTGGTCCTAGCGCCAGCCTGCCCGGGTGTCCCCTGGCCCCTGTGGCCCCTGGAAGCGACGGGGCCCAGTTTCAGACCGCACCCTCCTCCGGGGGGTCCTGCACATGATGGACGCCCTGCTGCTGCACATAGAGGGACACCTGCAGCGCGTAGCCATGCAGTCACATAAGCAAATAAAGGCGGCTCCCGCCCAGAGCCGGTGACTGCACACCTGCCTCTCTCTGCCTGCAGACAGTGGAGGTCCTGGGTCAGTCTTAATAGTCCCTCAACGCCTTGTCCACCCTTAGAGCTGAACCGGCTGACATAGGAAGGGACTCGTGGGGGGCTGGGCCACAGGACCCAGAAGGGGTGGGGGTCCTCTGGAGCCCAGACCCTCATTCCACC